GGGGGGGAGTATATGATATTTAAAAATAGGTAGAGTAAGCCGATTCTACCCCGGGGGCAACGAGGGGGGGTGGGGGGGGTATCGGATTTTGCGGGGGGGTGAGAGGGGGTATCGAATTTTGCGGGGGGGTGAGAGGGGGTATCGGATTTTGCGGGGGAGTGAGGGGGGGTATCGGATTTTGCGGGAAAGTGAGGGGAGGAAGTAACGGATTTTCAAGAATATCGGATTTTGTGGTGGGGGGGAAAGGGGAGGGAAGTATATGAATTTTAAAAATATTGGATTTTGCGGGGGAGCTAACCTAACCTAACCTAACCTAGCCTAACCTAACCTAACCTAACCTAACTTAACCCGCGCACCGGGGATGACTCACCCGCGCCGCGAACCCGCGGGAGGGGAAGTTCGCGCTCGCGGTCGCGCCGCGGTCGCGCCGCGGGGGCCGCGGGAGGATCATTTCACGATATTTCAACCGTATTTTCACCGCCTTGTTAAAGAATTGAGTACTCACCTTAAACACGGTGAACCACTCGTTGACCGGTGGTCATATCCATCGAAACCTGCAGGGAGTCGTCAGGCATCTCCATGTAAGAGGGAGGGGGCGACGCCGACCTCGGGCCTAAATTTGCGGCAATTCGCGCACTAAACGCGGCGCCCACACGCACGGCGCCCGCACGAGCATCTTGCAGGGGCCGCAGGGGGGCGTCAGGCATCAAACGAGACGCGACGATTGCCTCCGCGTAAGAGGGAGGGGGCGACGCCGGCCCCGGGCCCAAATTTGCGGCAATTCGCGCACTAGGCGCGGCGCCCACACGCACGGCGCTCGCACGAGCGGCGCGCAGCCAGTAAGAGCGCCAACAATCGTCGCACGTCGATGGCACGTAAAACCGATCACACAATAAACATCGCATTTTCGTTTATTCACCCGAACACAAAAAATAAGATCGACTACGTGCACTGGGACGACCCCAACGAGCTGGTGGATCGTCTGCGATTGCTCGACGCTTCGCGTCAAGCTGTGCGCGGACTCGACGAGACTGAATTCAATGACGGTTGCAGAAGTTGCCAGAGAAAAAATATAATGGCGGTGTATAAAACTGATAGTCGTAAGACAAAATATGTCTCGCACTACAAAGGCGAGCGCCGAGGTCCGCCGGAACATTGCGGCACCTCGCTTCTATGTTATGATATGCGATAATGCAGTATTTGATTACCAATTCGTGCAACCGATGCTCCAGCGGACGTCGCATATACGGCTCGAATAGAAATGCGCGCGAAGAAAATATAGTATGATTTATACTTAAAAAAACAATCCATCTACGCAGTACGTGAAAAAAACAAAGGAAGAAATGACGTCATCGGGACGATGATCGACCCGATAACGCATCGAACCTGTAGGGACATGTTCGTCGTGAGCAAATGTTTTCTAGGAAAAGGGGGGTGTTATCGCGTAGACTAAACAATCGAACCTGTCCGGACACGTTCGACGTAAACAACATATTTCTAGGAAAAGGGGGTGGTTATCGCGTAGAATAGACAATCTATCTACGCAATACGTATAAGACAAAGGAAAAAAAATGACATCATCGGGACGATGATCAACCTGTCGGATCATGTTCGTTGTAAACAACATTTGATAAAAGTAAGGTATAGGGAAGGACATGCACGCAAAGAAAATACATCGTTCGTTTTAGGGTGTAAAAAAAGCCTGTTTATTAAATCTTTTTTTACATAATATATCTTACGTGCTAAAAAACTAAAGCTGCGAGCTCACAATCGATGAGCTGATTCGTATTGAACGCATCGCTAGCGTATATTGCATTCGACGCTTCCCTGAGATCCGTCACGGTGGACGCGATATCGGAGAACTGCGCAAATTTTGCATCGACCGCCGCAAGGATTCTGACCAAACGATCGAATCTCGCTTCGATGCACCGATCGAGATCGAACATACGATGCAACGTCGATTCGGTCATCATCAAGCGTACGTTTACAGATTCGAGACGTATGAGTTTGATGTTATTAACCGTCATACAAACTCTCACCGTTAGCGGTCCAACGTTTATAAAACTATGGATATCTTTGAAATCGTTGCGAAAGAAATTTTGAATATTTCGTCGTTGCTCGTAGAGTGCCTTCCACGTTTCGAGAGACAACAGCAGTTCCTTTCCTCGATGATCTCCAACGGCAATCTCCACGTAGCTCGGTGGGCCCACGTTGATGCCAATTTCGAGGAATTTGTATCCCGTAGCTGTCAGCGCGTATCGTCTGCTGAGTATGCGAACCGCGCGACGGTCCCCCGAAATGCTGGATAAAAGAAATGAAATTAGTTTTTTGTATTTTTCATATGTAAGTATTACAATATGCAAAGATATAAAAAAACTGGGGAAGACTCTATATGTTAATTATCTCTCAAACGAAACTTACCTATTGCATCTGGCCTCATACGTTTGAGTTTCAACGTTGTGAATCGGCACGTAATAATTCATGGCATTCACGCGTTTTGAACCGTTGTTGCTGCTGCTGCTGCTGTTGCATCCTTCAAAGGAGAACATTCTTTCGCTCTCT